TAGACATATGAGGAAATCATATCCTCATTCCGCTAAGCATTGTCTTAATATATTTTTCAGGCAAGCAAGCAGTTTCTGAACTCAGAAATGTCAATTGCAGCAAAGCAACGCAAGGAAAAGTTTCAGTTTTTGCAAGCTGGAACACTTGTAACACCCCCACACCAAGCTTGCCCAGCTTCTGCTGCTGCCCCCACTTGAGGACCATCTGACTGCTCGAGACTGGGGTTTAACAGGAGTGCTTTAATGTGGTCTCTCTGGAGGGGAAAGCACCATAAAGGTCTGCTACGTTTCACCATAAGCTAAACAGTTCTTTAAATGTAATGTAGTGAATGCTAAAGCACCGAGCAGCAAGGATCCAGGGCTTTCATCAGGCTGGGATAGGCACTGGTTGTTTCTGCCAGGGAGGCTCAGTCTGAGCAGAATTAGCTGGGAGATAGCTGATATTGGAGAGGGAGAAGCTTCCCTTGGCTTCTTCTAGCAGAAATAAATTTCTACCTACTGTAACTTATTACCATCTGATATGCTGAGTCATGAAGCTGGGGTTATAGAAATCTTTATGCAATCTTTATAAATCAGCCTCACATAATCTCAGGCACTTACTGCTTCATCTCTGTTGAGTCAGTCATTTGACAGTTGTCATTCATCTTAGATTGAGATGTAATTTAATAGTTTCATTTCAGCAAGAAGATAGCGTCATCTAAGTTGAGCCTGGAAAGATTTAAAGGTGTAACAGACAAAATATTAATACTGTAAATAATATCTGTGAAGCTGCATGGGTCTATAAATCACAAAGCACGGAGCTGCAAGGGCAGCCCATGTAAAAAAAACCAAACAAACAACAAAAGAAAAAACATCCTCCCCCCTCCTCCTCTGCAGATCATACCCAGTCTCAACACCCACACCTGCTCCAGACTGCAGGTTGCCGAGTCAATGCACGCTCACTGTGTTTGCTGGGATCACCTGCCCACGGAGGTGTTGCTCAAAGTGTGTTTACACCCGTTAGGGATATGAGCACGGTAACCTGCAAACAAGACACGTAGTCCAGCCAGGGACCAGAAACCTCAGGAAGAGCAG